GGCACATGCCATGGGGTGGAACTGGGATGTACCACCTGTATATAGCCTCCTTTAACTTTGAGTCTACCTCAGAATGTCACCTTATTTAGGAATAGGATCTTTGTGGAATTGAATAGGGTGAAGTTGTCATTGCAGTTGGAGAGACCTTTCTCCACGGAAGCTATAGGAACAAATCAGTCAAGTGTGTGGGTGAACTCCAGCAAGAGTTTATCGGGACTTGGGTTCCTAAGAAGGGAGCAGCAGCATTGCCTAACCACAGACCTGGCTGCTTGGCTGGGAAGGGAGGAGCAGACAATAGCTTGCTGTAGGCGGGTTAACCTGGTCCCTAGCTCTTCATCTTATCAGAAGGACTTCAGCTGCTTAAGCCTGAGCTTCAGCAAGCCAAGGACTTGGCTTGCCTTTTGTCCTCTGGTGTTTCCCAGTGTGTCAAGCCTATTCTAGATCAGGGGAAGGGCCCACCTCCACTGATTAGTGATTATCCTTGCAAGAATAAAAAGTGACATTTGAGAGGCTGAGTACCCTGCTTTAAAATTTCATTACATATTTATTTTGTGTGTGTGTGTTATTTATGGTATGTGTGTGTTGTGTATGGTGTGTTTGTATGTTTCATGTGTGTGGTGTGTGTTTATTTAGGTGCATGTGGAAGGTCAAAGGTCAACTCATTTTGTCTTGAAGGTCCTGGGGATTAAACTCAGGTCCTCAGGATTAGTGGCAAGCACCTTTACCTGCTAAGCTATCTTGTTGGCCTTGATACTCTATAAAGAGGGAGGAGTCTACTTGAAGAGGCTGAGGTTAGGGGGCTAGGTCTGCAAGCTAAAAAACACTAAGGATCCTACTGGCAGCCACCACACCATTGGAGACTGGGAGCCAGCCCCACCCATACCTACTTCTGTATGAGTATTAATGTCTGTGCGTTTTGCCATCTAAGGTTCTAGAAATTGGCTAGGATAGCAATACACCACTTCAGGAATTAAGCCAGATGAAAGGAGAAGCCTTACCGGCAGCTGAACCGGCTTTCAGGCTCTGTGAGGTGGACACAGTGCAATGCACAGCAGGCCAACCTCCCTAGGGACGTCATCACTCCCTGCCCGTTTGATCTTGTGAGACCTCCAAAGCCCACCTCAGTTGGTAGACTGATCCCTGCCTAAACTGGCCTTCCTGCCCTGTTGCAGGCACATGTCACCGCCTGTTTTCATTCCTGAGGCTCTTAACCACACACTCCATGCAGGGGCTTTGTTCTCTGGCACTGTGCATGCCTGGAGCCCAGAACTGTTAACACTCACACGTGATTTAGATTATATTGTCCCTGCGTAGCCTTTGAATTAGCTTACAGGGTAAATTAGGGCACTGTGGTATGATCTTGGGCCAGGTTTGCATGGTACCTTTCTCACAGCCCTGAAGAGACATGCCCCAGTTCATACAAAGGGGAAATTGGCCTTATCCACCATAGTGGCCCGTGCTCTACTGTCCCCAATCCAGATTTCACCAGTCTGAGTGGATTGGAATGTAGGGGAAAGGTGGGAGGGTGGGGCCTGATGCTGGCCCAGCACGCAGGTGGACCTTGTTCCTTGCACTGAAGGGCCAGCCAGTCCATTGTGGCCACAGTGGGTCTGGGCTGGATGAAAAGAACTGTAGGAGGTGGAGCAGAAGTCAGAAGTAAACTTGAAGCCAGCAACAGCCATGAATGACTGTCCAAGTTCTGCAGGGGCCACCAACCTGGGCCAGCTAGACAGAGTCCTTGAACACAGGGCATGACAGGAGAGCAGCCGGTGAAATTACTCTTGTCTGTTTTTTGTCACTGTGAGCCCACCCTATGGTCCTGGAGTGGTCTTTATTTCTAATAGCTCTTGCTGAGGCTGATGGAAGAGGAAGCTGTTCTCATTAGCCAGCAGCAGGTGCCTGGCTCTTACTAACTTTACAAATGAGGATACAAGAGACATTGGACTTGCTCCCTGCCAAGTCCCTCACTCATTTCCCTCTCCTGACTTTTCCTCAACATGTGGCATCTGTGTTAGCATCCCAGGCTACTGCTGCCAATAACCACACAGTCAGTGACTCAGAACATGCCAGTTTCTGGAGTCAGTTCTGCTGACTGGAGTCAAGGTGTCAGCAGGTCTGGCTCCTCTTGCAGGCTTTGGGATAGACTCCTAGCTTCTAGAGGCTTCTGCAGCCCTTCCTGACTCCTCTAGCAGCTATGTTTCCCACACAGGCACATCCCAACTCTGATCATATCTCCCTCTGCTTGCTGTACTTCTTAATGTAGTCCAGGCTGGCCTCAAACTCACCTTGTAGAGAAAGATGATGACCTTGAAAACCTGATCTTCCTGCCTCTACTTACTGGTGTTCTGGGATCAGTCTTGTGACACCCACCTGCTACTTGCCTCTCTTGATTGCCTTCAGTGCTTGCCTAGACAATCTCCCCATCTCAAAATCAGCAGTTTGATCACACCTACAATTCCTTTTACTACATCAAGTGCAACAGGTTCTGGGGATGGAGGGCTTCAAGTCAGCTGGTCGCCCTGTTCCCCAACCCACACACAGTTCCCTGCTGGGTGTGTCCACACATCAATAGTCCTAGCATTCCGGGAGGCTATAACAGCAGCATTAACATGGGTCTGAAGCCAGCTGAACTATACATTGAGCTCTAGAGTTGCCTGGAATACAGATCGACCCTGTCTCAAAAAGCGAAAAGGTACTCCAGTACCATCAAACACCCACACACATCAAAATTTTGAGATAGGCTACAGGGACCTATCTCAAAAACAGACCACAGGGGACTTAGTGTGACCTGGATATGACAAAGATTAGGCAATTTCCAGGTTAGGTCTAAGCCCCATGAAATGTGATTTCGCCTACTCACCTCCAAACTGTTAAATGCTAAAGCTTAGGCTGTTTGGACAATGAAGACCACCTAAGCCCAGAATTGGCCACAATGTGGCAGCCCCATGCTGTGTCCATCTCCTGCAGGCTTCAGAGGAGGCTCCATAATGCCTCCTGGTGGCATTGGGAAGCATCGTTGTATGTTCTCTAATGCCTCCTGGTGGCTGTGGAAGCACACTAAAAGAATACTCTAGGAAGAAGCTGCCTAGATGGTTTGTGGCAGCTTCAGTCATTTTCCAGGATAGTGACAGGAAGCTAGTCTGGCTAGCATGGTCCTTGGAGTTCTCATCACCAGCTCAACCAGTGCAGGCTTCTCCCTACCTACAGTAACCCCTCAGAATCACTCCTGAGTCCCCGATGCCTCTGCCAGCCCTACTGCTTTCTGTGGAATGCAGAGACAGAAGAAAATATGGACACCATCTCTGTGAAGTAGAAAGAGGGTATGCTTGATAGTTGAGACGCAACCTGCCTGTCCCACCTCCTAAGTCAGATGACCTCAAGGGGCCTAGATCCAACTGATGGGCAGTGCAGGACTAGTGAGAGCTCAGGCTACAGACAGTGGGAATCTCTGGGTTATGGTGTCCTAGTGAGAAGGTAAACATCTCACCACAATATGGGTATATCAGTGGCTTCCTTCGGGGCAACAGGGGCTGAGAGAAGTGAGTCAGCCTCCTTGGGAGGGACTAAGGAAAAATGGACAGGACCTTGAGAAGGGAACATGGGAGGTTAGAAGCAGGGATGCAGGGATGGAGATATGAAGGCATGCAGAGGTGGGATACAGGGATAAGGGAATGTAGGGATGAAGGCATAGATGATGGGATGGAGAGATGCAGCAACGGGAAGATAAAGGACAGGAGGGAGGGTTTCACATTCCTGTCACTAATAACAATACTAAGTTTCTGTTTGCTGTGGGTGCTCAGGGTTCCTCGGACTTCAGGTGTGATCAGTAACTGGAAACAGCTATGGCTCTGGGGCCTCTTCCACATTTGGAAATGACCTTCACGTCGTCTTGTGCCAGACACACTACCTCAAGCCCAAGTTTTCACTTCCTCCAGCAGCCCCTAATGCTGACATCTAATACCCCCAAAGGGCAAGTGCTAGTAGGTGGGCCACAGCATATCTGAGCAGGTGCCCTGCATAGAGGAACCAGTGTGGCACATACTAACAAGGACAGAGTTCCAGGGTTGGAGGCACTGAGGCAGAATGGCCTGGGGAGCTCTTCCACACAGCTGTGTGGGCCAGTGCCACACGCCTCATGTACTTACATGATGCTATTAAGAGCATGGATTGGAGGGAACTACAGATGACTCCAGTGGCTGCCTTTCAGAGGACCCAGGTTCCCAGCACCCATAGTGGGTGGCTCACAACCATCTGTAGCTCCAGTTCCACAGGATGCAGGGCCTTCTTCTGTCCTCTATAGGCACCAGGTATGCACATAGTACATTGACAGGCCTCACACAGCCTTGCTGAGCTCAGTGTCCTGGTGTACACTTGACTTACACCAAACCAATTCCCCCACTTCCTCATCCCATGGCAACTTTGTTGGGTTGTGGGTTTGTTTTGAGGCTCTCTCATATAATCCAGGCTGGCCTCAAGCTGTGTTGAAGGTGACTTTGATTTTCCTGTCTCCTGCTGGGATTACTAGTGTGCATTGCCACATCCTCCTGTGTGACAACACAGTGGAACTCAGGACTTTGTATGTGCTGAGTAAGTATTCTACCAACAGACCTGCATCTCCACACCCATTCTTTCTTTTCTTGGAGACAGGATCTCACCATGCAGCCAGGGCTAAACTCTTGGTACTCCTTTCTCAGCCTTTTGTTTGCTGGGATTACAGGTCTGTGCTACTATACCCAATTTCCCCACAACTTTCTCAGGAGTAGGACTACCAGTCTGATAGATGGAGGCTTGAAGAGGAATGTAACTGTCCTAAGCTCCATGATCAGTGAGGGACATAACCAGACTAATCCCCATGTCCAAGATTCTGGTGACATTCAGTGGGTACCAGCTATACAGCAGAGGCACCAGGTTAATGCAACCTGCCCTGGCTTTCCTTGACTGACAGCCCCTGAAGCCCCTCCCACATGGACCAGACCTCATAACAGTGGCTGCCACAGGGGAATAGCAGACCTCTCCTTTATTGCAAATACAGTAGTCCCAGGAATACCTGGGGAAAGCTAGGACCAGGAAACATGGGAACAGGGATTCTCCTAATGCAGACTGCCCTCCCCTTGTCCAGGGTAGGAGCCAGTCTGATCCTTGTCAACAAGGGGTCACTGAGCCCTGGGAGAGTTGAAAAGGAATCCTTGTTGGAAGAGCAGGCCCCTGAAACTGGGGTCCTCTGTGATCTCCTGACCCTTTACTCTCAGATAGCTATGAGTCTGGGCCTTGTCCCCAGTGTCAATGTCCCTACAAATGTCCAATAGAGGGCCAGAAGGGACTGGGTGGACCAGAGACAAAACGACTCTGCCCCTTACCAGCATGGCCATGGTCTTGGCCCTCAGCAGCTAGTCTCAGCAGCTAGGGGGCCTAGGGTGCACTGAGGGAGCTTCCTCAATGGCCTGCTCCATCCGAAGGTACCAAGGTTGTATTCGAGAGTGTCGCATCAGGTCATCAAAGGCCTCCAGACCCTCCATCACTCTCAGCACACCATACACTGCCTAGGGAAGGATCAAGAACAGTCATTGCACTGGGCCCAAAGGACACCAAGGCTTCAGACAGTGCCACCCAAACTTCCTGTATCTGTGTAAGATTTGAGGAGATCTCTCAGCACCTGGTTAGACCCAGGCTACCTGGTTACAGATTGCTCAAGACCAGAGCTGAAAGCCAGGACACTGACTGCTGGGTAGAAGCCAGAAGCCCATGCATGCCACAATCAGAGGAAAAGGTGAAGCCCTGTCACTGTCACTCAGGCTCCTGATTACGCTCAGCCTGAAACAAGCCCCTTCTTGAGCCTTTCAGGTATAAGAACCATGAAGGCTGTCTGTTTTCCCCAACAATACATAGGAAAACCAGACACAGTTCCCTGGGGAGCAGACCACTCTATCTACCACCATTATACCCACCAGGTCAGCAAGGTTAGGCTTCTGACCCCCCATGAACGGGCGGTCTTTGCCCACGGCTGTCACCCACTTGTTGGCTGCCTCATAGAGGTCTGCACGGACATCATCCTGTAGGTGGTGCCTGGGGAGAGACAGAAAGGATGGTCAGGGAGCTCTTGCCCCAGCCCACGTGACACAGCTCCCTTTGCATAATGCAGAAAGGCATGTGCGTGACTGCTGCATGACCCTGGGTGAGGGGAAGGGTACCCATACTGCTGAACACCTGCCCCCAGTGAGTGATGGTATGTGGCTTGAGGTGAGGAAGGGACCCCGACAAGGAGGCAGAAGTAAGAGGTCACAGGAAGGGCCATGACTTCTGACCCCAAAACCTGAGATAAGGATTGATCAGAAAAGCTGGGTCCCAGGCCTGGCTTGTCTTCCCTCCTGAAGGGTTTGAAGGTTGCTACATGCTCCATGCCCAGACTGGGGACAGCAGACCCCTGCTCCTACATATGCATATCCTTGTATGAGGCATCACCTGCTTTTGAGGCGCTTGCTGATGAGGTACATGGCAGCTGCACCCACATACTTGGCCATGGTGGCCTCCACAGCCCCAAACTTTCCCTCACGGACAATGTAGTCGAAGGAAGCCAGGGCCTCAGCGGGTGTCCGGTACACATTGGGGGAGATGAGGTGCACCAGCCAGTCGTCTGCCCACTGCCGCCACTTCATCTCTTCCCTGTAGACACAGGACACAGAGGGTGTTGCCCTGTCCCTGAGCCAAGACCAGGGCTCTGCCCCAGCACCCAGTTTCTCCCAAAACTCCTAATGCTGTGACCCTTTAATACAGTCCTCATGTTCTGGTTACCCAACCATAATTATTTTATTGCTACTTCATATCTGTAGTTTTGCTACTGTTATGAATCATAATGTAAATGCCTGGCATGCAGGATGTTTGACTCCCAAAAGGGTCATGACCCACAAGTTGAGAACCACTGCCCAGAGCATCCAGCTTAATTTGGCCCTTATTACTACCCCCTCCCCCCTGCAGCCACAGCTCCACTCACGTCCTGGCTTCCTTCCCGCCATACATCTGCTGGGCCTCCTTCTCATCCAACATGAGCCAGTACTTGTTGCAGAACTCGGTCACCTCCTTGCCCTGGTCATTCGTGGCCTTCATAGGTGGGTAATAGGTGATGACCTCTTCCAGGGGTTGCCTTCAGAAGAAGGCTAGAGCTTCAGCCTGACTCCATCCTCCTGCCCCCTTGGCCTACCAACCCAGACAACCCAGTTTGACTCAGCCACTCAGTGACCCAGCCTATGAAGTTTCCCTCACTTGCAGCAAAAGGGATTAGCTTAGGCACAAAGAACACTTCCTGATAGAAGGAGGAAGGCAGGCCTTGGTCTATTCTAGAAATATCTATAGCAGCCCCACTCTGCCTCCCAGGAGCAATTTACCCTGACACCAGGTAGGTCTTGAGGGCACTGATGATGACTGAGGAATCATTCAGCTGTTGCTGGAAGAGAAGAAACAATTGTCTTGTGTTGCTGGGAATGGAGCACAGGGCCTGGGGCATGAGGGGCAAGCACTATGTTCCCGAGCCATGCCCCTTGCCCCAGAGACAGTTTGTTCACAGGATCTGGCTGGCGGCTAGGTTTTTTGACAACTGCAGTGTCAAATACAAACAACAAAATAACAGCGCTCTTGAAGCTGGGCACTGCTGATCCACCACAACTCACCCCAAAAACCCATGCCCCGAGCTCACTGCTCCCCTTTCTGAGTAAGGGTGACCAAGTATGGCTATTGGGGATATCTGACTGGGAGAGCCCTGGCATTTGACCCTAATCCATGAGTCACCCGGCCTTCTGGCACCAAGGGCAGGGCAGGACCAGGCCATATACAGGGTACCAAGCCCAGTGCCAGGATTTTATCCTTACTGTTCCTACAGCCCAGAGTCTGGGCTCCTGTGGACTAGTAAGAAGCCAGCCCAAAGCTTCACATGGTAGCTCACATCTGTAACCTCTGCACATGGAAAGATGGCTAGTTCTAGGGCAGCCAGGGGTAAGAATTAGACCTTGTCTCAGAAAACAAACAAACAAACAAAAAAACCCAAACAATAAAAAAAAAAAACCTTCAAAACTCTCTCAAACTATGGTGTACATGTACACTTGATGTACACTTGCACACACACACACACACACACACACTCACAATAAGTAAATTTTAAAGAAAAAAATTGGGGGTGGATAGGGTTATATAGATAGGCCAGACTGGTTGGAACTCACAGAGATATGCCTACTTCTGCCCCCCAAGATGCAGAGCGTAAAGGTATACACCACCATGTCTGGCAGGGGTTCTGTTGTTGCTGTTTTTCTTTCCTTTGGGGGCGGGGGTGGGGCGGGGGGATGGGATGAGACAGGCTTTCTTTGTATAGCAGCCCTCTGGTTGTGGCTGTCCTGGAACTCACTCAGTAGACCAGGGTGGCCTTGAACTCACAGATATCCATGAGCCTCTGCCTCCCCAGTGCAGGGGTGGGGGATATTTAAAGACTGCAACCACGCCCAGCTGCCTATTTTGTTTTTCAGATTACATTTTATTGTGTTTGTGAGTGACACAGCTTGCAGGAATTGTTCTCTCTATCATGTGAGTCCAGGGACTGAACTCAGGGTTGTCAAGCTTGGCAATGAGCACCTTTACCCAAAGCCATCTTATTGGCCCCTATGTAAAAAATTTAACAAATAAACAAGCTAGGCACAGAAATACATACTTTTGATCCAGCACTAGGGAAGCAGAGGCAGGCAGAGCTCTGTGAGTTCAAGATCACTCTAGTCTACACAGTTCCAGGACAGTGAGATGCTGCCCCCCCCAAATCAAAACAAATGTACAAATAAATAAACCCCACACCTGGGCATGGTGGCACATGTCTATAATCCTAGCACTCAAAAGACAGAAGGGTAGTGAGTTCAAGCAATATAACAAGGTTATTTATTGGAAAAAAAAAAAAAAAAAAAATCAGCCCATAGAAGTGAAAGTCATAGTCACAGGCAAGCGTGCTGGCCAGCTAGTCATGTCAACTTGACAGACTAGAGTTACCTGAAAGGAGGGAGCCTCTACTGAGAAAATGCCTCTATAAGATCCAGCTGTAAGGCATTTTCTTAATTAGTGATCGATGGGGGGTGGGGAGGGTGCCTATTGTGGTGGTGCCATCCCTGGACTGGTGGTCCTGGGTTCTATAAAAAAGCAGGCTGAGCAAGCCATAGAGCTGAGCTCCTGCCCTCACTGCTTTTAATGATATGGAATGGTGAGTAAAATAAACCCTTTCCTCTCCAACTTGCTTTTGGTCATGGCGTCTCAACAAAGCAATAGAACCCTAAGACAGCCAGTGAGTGGCAGAGCCACACCTCAGACCCAGATCATCCCAGCTGCAAACCCAGTTTGTTCATCTTTAAGCGCATCTCCACCCTGCCCCACAAGACTCTAACAGGGAAAGAAAAGGCTCTACAATTACTACATCCTGCTATGTTGCCCACACTAGCTCAGGGAACCATCAGAGCAACCTGACTACAGGCTCCCACCACCCAGCCCATACTTTTAGACCATTTCTCTACCCCAGCTCTTTTCCCTATTCTCAGTGGAGATCAGGAAGTCACAATTCTTTTAGATTTAAGGAAACTCCCAGCCTGGGACAGAAAAGAGGCATGGGATCCCCAAGGCTCACCAAGCTGTCTCCTTCCTGGGCCACCAGGATGGGCACCTTCCTGTAGGAGGAGAATTTGATCTCAGCCCTTCTGACAGGGTTCACCTCCACTACCTGATAGGGCAGGGAGTGGAAGTCGAGGAAGGCACGGACTTTGCTGCAGAAGGGACAGGTCTTGTACTGGTACAGGGTCAGCTGCAGATGGCTGGATGGGGACAGCTGGGGGAGAGAAAAAGACTGGTAACACCTGGAGTCACAGACCTTCCCCCCTCCCCCAGCAAATCTTTCTCCATGGAGTCACCTTCTAAGGTGACCCAGAAAATATAAGAATGAGGAACAGCAGAGAGAATGGACAGAACCCAAGTGGAAGTGCCCAGCTGGGATACCACAGGGCTAGGACCAGCCATCTGTGAAGAATCTGAATCAATCTCTCTGTGTGTGTGTGTGTGTGTGTGTGTGTGTGTGTCTGAATTCATCTTCCTCCTGTCCCAAAGGGAACATTAGACAATTGCAGGGTGTGTCTCCCTTAAGCTGTATTCTTATGGTTCACCCCAACCCCCTCCAGTCCTCCCTAGGCAAGAGACAGAGCTGACCAAGAAGCTAGGAGGCACTGGCCAGAAGTGAGGTCTACCCCAGATTTCCAAAAGCAGAGGGAGGCTGCATGTGGCTCCTCTACAGTAAAGTCCTCAGACGTACTTGCTACAGTTGCAGCCCACCCCCCTCAATTTTCAAATGCTAATCGGATAGACAGGGAAGAGAGTAATGATGCACAGGGACACAGCTCCCTTTCCAGTTCCTGCTCCAGGAAAAGGCCATGGAAGGCAAGGTGGAGATTCTGCAACTCATGAAATGTCCACAGGACAGCCTAGCCACAGCAGGCTGGGGCACACCTCCAGTTCTGGGTCTGGAGTCAGGCTCACTCATTTCAAAATGACTACTCGCGGCACCGCGCACGCCCTTACAACACGGTAGAGACCACGGCATGAGATACACGCAGCTCTACGTCATGGGCATCAGCACCAACCTCCTCGGACTCCTCCTGCCAAGACACTCGCCCAAGGTCACGAGCGGCCGAAAAAAACCACTCCTTACCCCGCTGCTTCTCAAGAGTATCGAGTTCGGGGCTGATCCCGACTCCACATCCGCAGCCCGTGCCAGCCAAGCCTTACCTGCACAGCCGAGCGCTCGGCGCGGAGGTCCTGGGAGCGCAGGTGCCAACGCACGGTGTGGTACAGCCCCAGCGCGCCGCCCAGGGTCAGCGCCGCCGCCCCCAGCAACCGCGGGCTCCCCTTGCGGACCGCCGGGCCCGAGCTTCCTGCCGCCGCCCTGGTGTAGCCGGCCAAGCTCTGAGCCGAGATTGGCGGCCAGGGTCGTATGCGCGACCCCTCAGCCAGGGCGCACCGGCTCAAGCCAAGAACCCACGCTACGCGCGCCGCCCGGGCCATGTTTGCTCAGCCGGCGCTGCGGGCGGGCGCGAGAAACCAAGACGACCAAAGCTCTAGGGGGCCTTAAAGAGACAGGACTACCTGCCGGGAATGTTGCCTAGGGAGACGGTGACGCCAAGCAGGGATTAGAGGTTGTGAGAGGACTGGAAACTTTAGAAGTGGCTTGACAACTCTGTCTTTTGGGAGTGCAGCGGTGACTTGTGATTTGCAGTGGGTTGTTTCCATATCGTGCATCTATTCGAAGGAATCTCAGGGGGAACGCCGGTCTTCTGACCCATGCTCGCTCCGGGGGAAGGAAGGTCCGATGCTGTCTCCAGTGGGCGGCCGCAGCATCTCGGATTCTTTTTGCCCTCCCGCAATGCTATGCCCTTCTGTTAAGATCCAAACCATAAACTTTTCTCAAACCTGGCGGGGGCCTTGGAAATCACGTGCTTCGGAAATAGCCCGCGCTGAGGGGCAGGCTCGCCAATCTGAAGACCTCCGGGGGCTGAATGGGTCCGACTGAAGGTCCCGGGACGCCTCTGGCTCTTACAGAACTTGCTGGTGCTATCCGAGCTCCAGATCTCCACCGCCAAGGCTTCTCCGCGGGCAGCCCCGGCATGGCCCCGCCCCAGGCCTAAAGAAGGCTCTGCTAATGGGCGCGTTATCTACAGGCGGGATTCGTTGATAGGCGAGGTAATGGAGATGGCATGGGGTGGAGTCCCGGGTTCCACCTGGTTCGTTCCTCTTCCTCCACCTTTCCTTGGACCTGTAAGCGCCAGAGCCCACTGAATCCAGCCGCACCTGGGACCTGCAAGAGCAGGCCAGGCGAACGAAAAAGGCCCATCATGCTTTGCTCTTCCATAAATACCTAGCTGGGGAGGGAATAATGGGTTTAAAAGGCACCGGACCCCGACGCAAACGCCGCCTCTGACTAGGGCAGGGGTCGTCCCGGAGCAGTCCGAGGACCCGACGGGAGAGCATCCCGGAACAAATCCCTGGAAACTGCACTAGAGAACTGTGGTTACCCGTTTAGTTTTACAGTTGTGGAAAATGAGGCGGCTTCAAGGATAGTCGCCCGTGTTACATTGATTCCAGTAACTTCTTTAACCCCTGAAGGGCAATTTAGGAAAGCTGGAGGGGAGTTGGGCGGGTTAAATTGAAGAGTAGGGATTGAAACCTGCCCACTGCTGAGGAGAAACCACCTCAACACCCACTACCACCAACACCATTCACCTCTACTGCTGCTGTCCTGGTGTGACATATAACATGTTTACAAAGCAAATTGCGCGGAGGTGGGAGGGGGCTGGAGAATCAACAACCGTAGGCTCCCTTGTTAGTTTGAGGAACCAGTTTGCCACCCATGATACAAAAGTTAACGACTGGCATCTCCTGCAGACTCACCACCCACCACACTGTAACTTGTGCTGAAAGGAGATCCTTTATGTTAAATGAGAGTCTTATCTAATCCCAGCGCTCAGGAAGCTGAGCTAGGTGTGAGTAAGAGGTCAGCCTGGTCTACATAGCAAGCTCCAGGCCAGCCAAGGCTACACAGTGACACACTGTCTCCTCCGGATGGATGGATGGATGGATGGATGGGGGGAGAGGCTGAGAAGTCAATGAGGCTGATTCCTGGGAGGCCCCTACTTTTTGCCTAATGGGCAACTGTACCATCTTAGCATGACATGAGCCAGCCTTTGCCAAGGAAACTCATACTGGGTCCACGCTCTCTGTGGAGACATTTGGTAGCGTTATTTTCTCATGGCATATTATCCAGTTCTCATCTTGCCATACTAATCTTGCTACCTCTGTGTTGCCTCTTCATTCTAGCTACAGACCTTTCTTTAAGCTGTAGCCAGCACCAGGCACAGCCCTGCTCCATGCCCAGGGTACCTCAAGCTGAGGAACCAGCAGTGGCCTCACTCATTCAACCAAATGGAGTCTTAGATGCCCCAAACTGATGAAATTTCAGGGTATAATATGGAAAGGGGTGCTCAGTCTAGGTCCTCTTACCTGTCTACCTCTAGGCCCCAAACAATCTCTGATAAGAGCCCAGCCCTCCCCTCTCCTAACCTTTCTCTCTTTCTCCCTGACGTCTGGCCTCATCCCAGGACTCAGCAAATAAGCATCTTCCCCCATGGCCATGTGAAACCCATCCCAGATGTGGTTTGGGTGTTTGTGTCCCTCCAAAGTCTATGAGCTAAAGCTCAAGACCAGTGTAGTCACAATTATCAAGTTATTTAGGAGGTGATTAATCAGCCTTCAGGAGTGGAATAGAGATTTTACCAAAGGGCCCCAGGGGACGAGCTAGACTGTTCTCCCTTCTCTGTCTTCCCACACCAAAGGACAACAAACAGGAGGCTGCCAATGGTAAGGGGCTGGACGGACAGACTCTAAACCTGCTGCTAGCTTGACCTTGATCTTTCCAACCTCCAGAGCTATGAGACAAATCTCTTGTCATTTCTCCAGGACTCTGTCCATGCCATTGTTAGGTAGCTGGAATGGATGATGTGGCTTCAGGTCAGCCCCATCCTGATTCCAAGCCTGGGTTGGCATCTGCCTTTTCCACTATTATAACATTGCCCAGAGCCTATCACCCACCTCAAAGTAGACACACCAAGGTGCCACCCTCCTTCCTGGCCACTGTCTCACCTTCTGCTTCTGCCTCGGTAGCCAAGTAGGAGCCCACGCCATTCCCTCCACCCCACCCCCTCTGAGACACCATGGGACTTAGCTGACTTCCTCCCACACAAAACCTACTCAACAGCTGGTTTGCAAAGGAAATGGGCTGATCACTCAGGAAGCAGAGACAAATAGATCTGTAAATTTAGATTTAGCCGGGTCTATATAGTGAGTTCCATGGCAGGCAGGGCTCAAAAAAAATACAAATAAAAGGAAGAAGCCAGGCTGTGAGGCACTTACTACATGAATCCATTTGGTTAAAGAACTATATATTTTTATTTTATGGTTTGCAGGCATTTAAGTCTTTGTACCATGTACATGCAGTACCCACAGAGGCCAGAAGAGGGAATCTGATTCCATTGTTAACCACCATGCTGTTGCTATGAATCAAATCTGGGTCCTCTGAAAAAAAAAGCTAGTGTCCTTAACTGCAGAGCCACCTCTCCAGCCCTTATTTTTATTTTAATCTTGTGTATGTGTGTGCCTGAGTGTGTTTATATGTACCACATGCCTGCAGGTGCCTGAAGAGGCCAGAAGAGCCTATCAGGTCTCTTGAAACTAACATATAAACAGTTGCCAGCTACTGTGTGAGTGCCGGGAGCCAAACCCAGTCCTTTGCAAGAGCAGCCAGTGCTCTTAACCACTGAGCATCTCTCCAGCCTTTGTTTAATTTTGGTTTTGGACAGGATCTTACTTTGTTGCTCCCTGGGTTGGTGTGCCCAGGAGAGGAAGGGCCCCTCAAAGTGCAGTCTGCTGTTTAGTGTGGACTGCTTTTTAGATGGGTCCTCCTCAAGGTCCATTGGCCCCAGGAGATGGACACTCCATCCTAACCAGGGGTCACTGTCTAACTCTGGCCTACAGCTGTAAGGCACGAGAGGAGTTCAGAGATAGGTGGAGAAGGATTTCCTCCAGACATGCCCTAGCTCCTGGGAGGGACAGTTTATAGCTGCAAAGCCCTCCAGGTGACTTATGTGCTTATCACACTCTGTATAGGGTGGGACATGATGTGCACTTGAGAGGAGACTGACCTGTGATCTTGGAGCTGTGGGCTAGAGTCAGTCAGTTGCTCAGAAAAAGTCGAAGGCAGCTCTCTGGAGTCTACACCTAGTCCTGGTTCCCACCATGCTCTCTGCCGTGGACTGCTGCCCTCATTCTGGCTGTTCACAGCTCTGCAATCACACCTTCCCTGCCATGATGGACACAATGAGCCTTCCCTTCCTTAAACTTCAGATATTTTGGTAATAGAAATGAATGTAACTGATCCAGGAGATTAGAAAGGCTACCCCTAGAAAAGATGATGATAGGGGCCCAGGCAGATGAAGCTGGAAGATGCTAGATTCTTGGAACCATAGAAAGAGAAACACCTTGAGTTCATACAGAATAAATTTAATCTTTTAAAAAAATATTTATGGGGCTGGAGAGATGACTCAGAGATTAAGAGCACTGGGTGTGTAATTTTTTTTGAGAGTTCTCTACCATGAAGGTAACTCAAGGTATCAATTTTGGTGGCAAGCATGACCCACCTTGCCAGCATTCTCTTTCTTTTTTTAAAGACAGGGCCTCACACTATAATCTGCACTGTGTTGGAATTTTCTGTGGAGTCCAGATTGACCTCCAATTCTCGCCTCAGCCTTCCAAATTCTGAGATTCAAAGTGTGAACCACTAACACTTGACTACAGTGTGGATTATTATTATTATTTACTTTTGTGTGTGTATATGAATGCATGTGGGTTTGAGAGAGAGGTATGTGTGTGAAAATGTCAGCATATGCTCACTTGTTTGAGAAGTTACGTTTACCAGGCTAGCTGGTGTATGAGTGTCTGAGGTTTATCCTCTCTCTGACTCTCATCTCACCACAGGAACACTGGGACTGCAAGCCTGTGATACCACACCTGGCTTTCCTGTGCCTCCTAGGGATTTGAACCTGGATCTTCATAATTACACATCCAGTGCTTTAGTTTCTGAGCCATCTCCCTAGTCCCTATGCACAATGCTTTTCTGATTTTGGACTTCTGGATTTTGGAAGATGTGATTCTAAGATAACAAGCTCAGTAATCTGTTGTAAATTGATGGCTTGGGAAGCTCTCAGGCTTTCCTAATCTCAGAAGCCGATGGCAGGAAATACACTGTTAGAAAAGTTTGCTCTTGAGAGAAGGTTGAGTGTGGCTAGCAATAGACCCATGGATGGAGGAAGAGGTGTGCCAACATGAGAGGCCACAAGAAGTGGGAAGGGAGTGGACTCAAATCCACAGTACAGGGGAGGTAGCACTGGACAGGGAGACCGGGAGACCCAGTGATGTCTGGAGGGGACCTAGGGATGAGGTAGAAACCAAGGAACCAAGGGCTGTCTCAGGCTGACTGAGGCTGAGCTCCAAGGGCACTTGGGGCAGTAGTTCCTACCCCATGGCCTGAGGGACCCTGTGTCCTGTGTCCTCTATCTGTCTATCACACCAATACAGAAAGTTACACCCTAGTCTAAAGAGCAAGTCCCAGAATTGGCTCCATAGCTACTGGGAAACCCTGTCTTGAAAGAAAAAAAAAAGCCATGGGGGATAGTAGTGACTCTGCCTAAGCTCTGTCCCCAGGAACTCACTCCCTGATGTGGCTTCCTGAGAAAGACTCCAAGAAGGACAGTGGCTAGACCAAGACCGAGATCTCAATGGCCAAGGCCAGCATGGTTCTTTTCTGTTCCTAGTGCCAACTTCCCTGTCCATTGCCATCTCCATTGGCTCAGATCAGCCCCTTCTCCTTGTAAAGCAGACACTCTGGCCCTATGGAGCCTGCCCCATCCTGCTTCCTATCATAGCCTGACCCACCTCTCATCTTTGAGGGCAGGGCTCAGCCACTGAAACCACAGGGACGAATGGTGTGGGACAGAATGATGTCCCTCATCTCAGAGAACTCAGGGGTCTCCCAGGAAGGTTGTCGTGGCTCTGGAGTTAGAGACATGCTTTTAGACACCTAGTTTAACCAACCCAGCACCCACTCTCCCTCCTGCCTCCTGGGCTGTGCACTTTCCTAACTGTCCTGGGCTCTCAGCACACAAGAAAGCAGCAGCCTTTCACACAAGCATCCTCTGTCAAGCTAAGGCCTGGGAAGCAGGGAACTGGAACACAGGGCCAAGGAATGGCTGTCCTGGACATGTCTCTTACCTGTGCAACTTGGGGTGCCAGGGCAAGTGTCTTATCTAGTATCAGCACCATACCAGGCAGAATCACCCTTCGCAGTTGAATCAGGTAGCCACTCACTACTTCCTGGATACCTGGTGCCTGCTGCAGACTCTATCCAGAACTGTGGCCTCCAGTTCGCTGCACCTGTGGTCATGTTGGCCCTCTCACCTGCATAGGCGTCCATGCTCTGAAACAGAAAACGGTACAGAGGAACAGGCTCCAGGCCCCACCCCTCCCTAAGGATCTAAGAGCAGTAGATGGTTTCCTTTCTTCCTTCTTTTTTCTTTCTTTCTTTTTTTGTTTTTGAGACAGTCTTGCAATATAGAGTAGGCTGACTTTGAACTCACAGAGATTAGCTTGTTTACTGGGTTTAAAGGTGTGCACTATTATACACAGTTTAAGAGAGATTTTCTTGATGGTAGCACACACCTTTAATCCCAGTACTCGGGAAGCAGAGGCAAGCAGATCTATGAATTTTAGGCCAGCCTGGTCTGCAGAGAGAATTCCAGGACAGCCAGAGCCACACAAAAACACTTTGTCTCAAAAAAAAAAAAAAAAAAAAAAAAAAAAAAAAAAACACCACACACACACACAGAGAGAGAGAGAGAGAGTAAATTGATTATGCCCTTGTATATGATCCATTCCCCATGATCCTGTAAACAACTGTAAGGAAACTCATTGGGTCACATACACAATAACAACCAAACAAACATGAATGTTAGGAGGACTCAGTGGGAAGAGATCAGCAGGGTAATGATAATTAGATGAATATGATCAAAATACCTTATATACATGTATGTCATAATGAAACCCATATTGTGTATAATTGAAATATGCTAAGAGAAATACTTCAGCACCAGGGGTGGCCCTGGACACAGACCTCAAGCAGCATGTGGGGGGACCCAGTGGACATATGGGGAATGTTGGGAGGGACTGACTTTCGGAGCTTTTCCAAAGCAGGATCCTGTGAAGTGAAAGAGGCAGGAGCCAGGAGACCCTCCAGGTCCCAGGAGCACCTTGACATGAAACTCTGGAAACAGAGACTCAAGTCAAGACCCTAGAGAAGTGAACATCTCCCACTGGACACTGTTTCCCATGTGAGTGACTGGGGACAGAGGCCACTGGACCCATCTGTGGACATAAAGATTTCCTGGGGCTGTGACAGGGCCACGGGGGGCTATCTATGTGTCTATTATTTATTTAGCAGAGCTGAGGATAGAGCCCAGGGGCTTGGGCTCACTAGGCAAGTGCTCTGCCACTGAACTGGGTGAGTCCCTAAGCCTTCTTCAGGCTCTCTTACCTCAGGTCTCCCAGGCAACCCTGGCTCTGAGAAGCTGATTTGGTAGTCCTGCACTCTTCAAGCAGGCCTTTGGTCGGGCTGGAGGATGGGGCTGCATTAGCTCCAGCTCCTCATGGCCAGATTCACTAGCTTCTGGATACCAGATCACAGAGTCAGACTGGGTTCCTGAGATACAATGGTCTTAGGAACATCTCAAGTGGATTAGACCCAGGTAGGGTTTAGGAGCATCAGGGTTCTCTGGGCTTATGACCACAAAAAACCCAAGTGTGAACCACACATGGCAATGCATGCCTATAATCTCAGCAATTGGAGAACTGAGGCAGGGGGATGGTCACAAGTTTAAAGCTAGTCTGGGCTACCTACTAAGTTAGGTGTCAGCTTGAATTACATTTGAAACCTGGTATCAAACTAACTAACTAAATAGCTGGTATGGTTGGTGATCATGCCAGTGTTCCACGGGTAGAGGACGGAGAAAAAAGAAAGAGAAAAAAAGACAGACTGGGTGAGAGGTGAAGGCAGGGGGATGAGAAGTTCAAAGCCACCTTTGGCTACATAGGGAATTTGAGTCCAGCCTGGGCTGTATGGGATCCCGCTAGGGGTGCATGGAGACCTAGCAGAGTCCTTGGGGAAGAACACACCCAGGAATCCACAGATAGGCAGGAGGTGATTGTGTGTCTTTTGCCTGGAAGAGCCAGTCTTCTAAACTGGCCCAGGGTCCTGCTCTAGGCCATCTCCCCTCCCACTCTTAATTTTAACCTTTTTGCTTTGCAGACCCAGAACTCTGTCTCAGTATATAGAGTTCCACTGGTTGCTTAGCCCCTGATTTTAAGAGCCTAGAATATTCTACCTGCCCAGCTCCTTTGAGATTCTGGGGTCTGTCTTTCCTGACTGAAAACTCAAGGGGCTCTGTTCACACCAGCTTTCCTGTCACCCATTTGTCACCAAAAACACAAAAGTTCCATATATATTTGTTTTAAGACAAAGGTCTTGAAAGGTAGCCTGGGCTTGCTTCAAACTCCCTTGTAGGTCAGGCTGGTCCAGAGATCCCCCTGCCTCTGCCCCAAGTGTTGGGCTTAAAGGTGTGAGACACCGCACCTTGTTTTCAAGGATACCTTTTAAACTAAAATGTTTAGTAAATTGGAAAGTTGTTTTGTTTTGTGCTGTTTGGAGATAGAAACTGGGGACTCCCACATGTTAGGCAAACCCTTTACTGAGCTACATCCCCAGTTCATGGATACCCTTTTAAGGCCACAGAAGGTAGAAGGGGTGAGTCCCCTAGGGCTGAGGTTGAAGGGGCTGTAAGGCCACTGGCACCTCAAGAGCAACAGGATCTGGTGGCCACATAGTCCCCACAACTTGGCTCAGTTTCACTTCCTGCTCTTTCAACATCCAGAGACCAAAGGGGACAGATTCTAGTGGTGCAGTTTCTCTTGAATGGGGTCAGGGGTGAGGCTACTTCCTACTTATCTGTTTAAAATCCCATCCTAGCTTGCTCTTTCCCTCAGGGCTAGCTACCCAAGAGCTCAGGGTTGGGAGTTGGAGGCCAGGAGCAGCAAGTGCAGGGCCAGGGTACTTCAGCCTCAGGTCAGGCATTCGGATGCAGCTCTTAAGTGAGCCTCCTCAGCAGGGACACAGTGGGAAATCCATCACTGCTTTCCATGGATGCTGGACAGACCCCCTGTGAGGAAATGGCTTCCCTCAGGAGTAGGCTCCAATCAGCTCTGGAGGGGCTGGGACCCCTGATGCTGGGCCACCTGGTCCCCTACACATAGAAATCTTCTCAGTGACTTCTTATCCAAAGTAACTGGAGTATGTAGGGCAGTATGGAGCCATCCTTTTCCCAGGTTCACCTCAGGTGATCCCCTTGTCCTCTGAGGTAAGCTGGCATTGTGGCTGCAGCCCTTGGCTTTGAAAGCAGAAACATCTAAGGACTGTGTGGCACAGGGGAGGGACTGCCCTGAGAGTTCAGCTGCCACCCTGTCAGCTCCTGTAAATGACAGTGGGTCATGGGAAAGTGAAGGGGTTCAAGGTATGGACACGCCCAGGCCAGTCTTGTGGACACCTCACACCCTGTGCCAAGGCCAAGTCAGAGCTTGACAGGCTCAGAACAGGGTGTCCCATTCTTCCTTGTCTAGAATGTCCACTGCCAGCTGCCCCACCCGTCTCCAAACAAGGACACTGCACAGGGTCTGGTTTTCAGCAGGTGTGCACAGGCCCAGGAAGGGGCCTTCACTACACACAGCATCCTGAGTTTCTGATGAGCCAGGGCTCCTAGGGGGTCATGGAGGGGCAACTAGACAAATGGGTGCAGACAGTGCCCTCTTGCCTGCCAGATTTCAGAGCTCTGCCAATGTCCCTCTTGTCCCCCTCCCCTGCAACACTTCCTCTGTCACTCAACCTTGCATAATCCTGACCTGGGGAAGAAAGGGACAGAAATCTTGCCAAGAATTTCAACAGGACATGCTGGCAATTGCTTCACACTTCCTGGACTTGGTAAAGGATAGACCTCCCCCCACCACCACTACCAGTATTAGGGCTGGCAGCCAGGTGACTGCTCATAAAGAGTCTCCCTGGGGAGACCTCCTCATTCTCTTCCTCCTCCTCCTCCTCCTCCTCCAGTCCAGTAACTGCTGCAACCATGGCCCTGGGTGTCCTGTATCTGGGCCTTACCCTGCTTGGGGTCCTGCAGAGCCAGGCCCAGGACTCCACTCAGAACTTGATCCCTGCCCCGTCTCTGCTCAGGGTCCCCCTGCAGCCAGGCTTCCAGAAGGATCAGGTAAGGACCTGGAAGGGCAGCTGCAGGGGGGAGTGGGTAGGGGAAAAGGGTGAGCAGATGGGAGGGGAAGCCAAAGGCTTCACAGGCAGCATTGAGCAGGGTGGATGGAATTCTGGGAGTTCAGGGTTCAGGCTTCATTTACCCTTCATCCCAATGGAAGCCACACCTCGCTCTGCTCTGACAGTCACTCTGATAGAGCTTTACAGGAATGTACCTCCTCTCCCGTAATCTCTGCTGTCCACGTAAAGTAGGAATCCCTTCAGTCACTCTGCATTGAGGAGGAAACAGTCCAACAGCCGCTTGCCAAGGACCATCCTGCCAACTCAGGGCCAACTCCACCTAGGGGATTGTTCAGCGTTGGAGGAGCACAACTCCTGCCAGTATCTATAGACAGACCAAGCCTGGGGCCGTGCTGCCCTCCAGCTGTGGTGCCTGGAGGTACCAAGAGGGCCAGCGCAGGACAAGCAGCCAGTGAGGCCATTCCTGGCTCCATCTGTCATTAGCCCCTTACAGTTTCAGGGGCGGTGGTATGTTGTGGGCCTGGCAGGCAATGCTGTCCAGAAAGAAGAACAAGGCCACTTTACCATGTACAGCACCATCTATGAGCTGCAAAAGGACAACAGCTACAATGTCACCTCCATCCTGTTCAGGTGAAACCCTGTCACCCCACATGTCACAGCCAAGGACTTGATCCATTTCTTGCTCTTTCCTTCTATCAAATGAGAATGAACACACAGTCCACAGATAACAAGAGGGAGAGGGCTAGGAAGAGGGCTCAGTCCACAGTATGCATGCCATGTCAGCATGAGATTTGGAGTTCAGTCCCACTGAACCAACATAAAGAAACTGGTTGTAGCATCCTAGCCGGTGTGTGTGTGTGTGTGTGTGTGTGTGTGTGTGTGTGTGTGAGAGAGAGAGAGAGAGAGAGAGAGAGAGAGAGAGATCAGGATCCCTAGGACTTACTGGGCAGCCATTCTAATCCAGTCAGGGAGCTCCAGGTTCAGTAAGGGACCTTGTCTCAACAATAAAATGAGGGGGCTTGGGAGATGGCTCAGCAGTTATGAGCACAGGTGGTTCTTCCAGAGAACCCAGGTTTGATTCCCAGCTCATGGCAGCTCATAACCATCTATAATTCTAGTTCTAAGGGATCCAACATCCCCTGCCCCTTCTCTGGCTTGATTTATTTATTTAATTGTTTGTTTGTTTGAGACAGAGTTTCTCTGTGGCTTTGGAAGCTGTCCTGGAACTAGCTCTTCTAGACCAGGCTGGCCTCGAACTCACAGAGATCTGCTTGCCTCTGCTTCCCGAGTGCTGGGATTAAAGGTGTGTGCCACCAGTGCCTGACTTGGCTTGTTTTTTTGTTTTTTTTTTTTTTTTTTTTTTCCTTTTGTTTTGTTTTTTCCTTTCAGGGCAGGGCTTCTTATTGTGACCCTGACTATCCTTCCTGTAACTCACTCTGTAGGCCCTGACTATCCTTCCTGTAACTCACTCTGTAGGCCTTTTGGGTGCTGGGATTAAAGGCATGTACCAGCACTGCTCAACCCAACATCCTCTTCTGACCTCCTCACACACCAGTATATGAATGTGCACAGACGTATGTGCTGACAAAACATTCATAATAACCATATACATAACAGGACCAAAACCAGGGCTTTGCACTTCAAGGTAAGCACCCTACCACTGAGCTAAATCCATAGTCTCAATAATAATTTTTTAATTAAAAAAATAAGGTGGAACCAAGACAGCCTCCAAAGCCACAGAGAAACCCTGTCTCAAAAAACCAAAATAAATAAATAAATAAATAAATAAATAAATAAATAAATAAAATAAAAAAATAAGGTGGAGAGTGATGGAGGAAGACAGCAGATGTTGCCCTTAGCCCTACACTCACACACACACCAGAAAGAAAGAAAGAGAGGGAGGAGGGACATTGAATTCAGTCTTCAACCCTACCTGTGGCCTCTGTCCAGGAGGTAGCCTTAGAGGAGCCACTACGGGCAGAAGGAAGTAGACATGTGCCCAGTGGGAGCTGGTTGGCACTGTGTCAAATGCTGTGTGTTCAAGATGGGGTGAATCAGCTGGGTGTTGGTGTCACACACCTTTAATCCCAGCACTTGGGAGGCAGAGGCAGGCAGATCTTTGTGAGTTCAAGGCCAGCCTGGTCTACAGAGTGAGTCCAGAATAGCCAGGGCTACATAGAGAAACCCTCAAAAAACAAAGCAAGCAAGCAAACAAAAGATAGGGTGAGTCATTGGCATGGCCACCCGAGCAAGGGTTGATGGGCAACTACAAGTGCAATAGTCTCTGGGGCACCTTGCCCTATGCCAGGGCTTGGTCTGGGGCTGCTGCTAGGACAGTCTTAGCTCAGTTGGAGCAAGGGAGAATGCGGGAGGGAGCCAGCAGAGTGGGAGGAACAAGGAAGATGGAGTCAGGCAGTTAGTTGGGGAGATGACAGGGCTGGGGCCAGGCCTGGAGAGGGCAGCCAGGGCTCACCATCTGTGGAGTGATTCTGACTCTGGCAGCTAGCGAGGCTGGAGCTGGAGCAAATGGTAGATAAAAGGCAGGTTTGGTGAGCTCAACTACGGAGGACAGGGGATTGAGTGGGACTTGAGGAAAAGTCATATTTGGCCTTAGGGCTAGGAGTGTAGTGCTTAGCTTGGAGCAGGCTGGCAGCTCAGAAATAACTGCCTTAACTGCAAAGGGATGTGCCAGAGAGGGAGCAGGGAAACAGGGTAGGGACTTTTGCACGGGACCTGGATTGTGTGTGTGGGGGAGGTCACCCAGAAAAGGCGCCAGGAGGAGAGAGTGTGGGTGCTGAGGGAAGGGGCTCATCAGGGTCAGGCAGGGCAGACTGGTGGGGGGAGGTGTGGGTGCATCTAAGGTGAGTGGGTGGGGCCTCCTGCCAGGTTTGGGAGCTGGGTGTTATCAGCCACCTGCCCTAATCCAAGGGGCAGTCCAGACTGTGTCACATCCCTACTCACTCCTATAGGGACCAGCGCTGTGACTACTGGGTCAGAACTTTTGCTCCAAGCTCCAGGGCTGGCCGATTCACTCTGGGAAACATTCACAGTGAGTCCTGAGTGGAGTGGAAGTTGGGGGAAAGTGCACAGTACCCCCTTTCTTGCACCAGGGCAGAGCACATCCCTTGTCCTTCACACGCACAGGTTACCCTCAGGTACGGAGCTATAATGTACAAGTGGCCTCTACCAACTATGACCAGTTTGCCATGGTATTTTTCAAGAAGACTTCTGGAAACAAGCAATACTTCAAAATCACCCTGTATGGTGAGTTCTTGACTAACTCTTAGGGACTCAACTTCTGCTCATACTCAAGGGTGGATCCCACAGTCTCAGCCCCAGGAGTGGTCTTTCTGCAGACCTCCAGGGAAAACAAATGTGAGACCTCATTTGCTAGTTCAGTGACACTTGTGGCAGTGACACTTACTGCAGATCTTGGTTGCAGGAAGAACCAAGGAACTGCCCACTGAACTAAAGCAACGTTTTGTCCGCTTTGCCAAGTCTCTGGGCCTTACAGATGACCACATCATCTTCTCTGTCCCCACAGGTAATGGCCAGCTGGGGGGAGGGGAAAGGAATGTGGGGATGTGGGGACTGGTCCAGGCTGATACCTACTCCACCAAAGAAAGGGATCCACTTTGAGGTCAGGAAGCCCTGTGATACCCTGGGGTCTATGGGGCCCTCAGGGATCCCAGCCCCAAGTTTTCCTTCTGGCCATTGACGCAGGGCATTCCAAGATGAGAGTTCTTGGTCCAAATATCCTTGGTCTTGCTGCCCCCGGGCCACTTCTGCTTACAGCCAAAGGCTATTTCCTCTCTAAACCCTGAACCTTGCTGCAGGGACCTCTCCCCATCCCGTGACTTGGGAGACACTTTGTTTTCAAGCAGGGGGCGCCAGCCAGGCCACCAGATGAGAGGCTACTAAGGCGAGTGGGTACACAGGTGGAAAGCCTGAGTACTTGAGCCACTGTGTACCTCCCACCCCTGCCCTACAGCAGCCTTCTGGGCCCTTCTCTCTTGACATCTGTTCCACATGAGTCCCTTTGCTGCCACAACCCTGGAAGAAACCCCAGAGCTTTTGTAGTCAGGCTAGTCTGGAGCTGGTGAACACAGGCTCCTGGTGCCCTGTTCTGATTAACTTTTCTCACCTACAGACCAGTGCATTGACAGCTGAGCAGTCGGTGAGTGTGACTGACTGGGGTGGGCAGGGGCTGGGTGGGAGGTCAGGGCACAGTGGATCGGGGTATCCAGCTTGTCTTTGTTCCTCCCCTGAACTGTGGTGTCTTAATTCTGTTACTGTCTTTCAGGTGCTTCCTGTCTGTCCCCAAGCCCATCTTTCCTGTTGCCAGAGAGCCACTTGGTCACCCCACCAGTCACAACACCAATGAGCACCAGCTGACTCATTACCTGGGTGGCACTGCCCAGCCACCCTTCCCAATGACACCCCCTTGTCTGCTGAATAAATGCATGTCTCCAGTTCTCTGAGTCTGTGTTGCCTAACCCCATATAACAAGGGAAGGGCAAAGGGTGGATCCACACCAATATTATTCCAGCATGATGGTAGAGCTGCAGAGAGAAGGCTTGGGGAAAAGAAGGCTCCAGAACTCCAGCCTCTCCCCAGCTTCTACCATCATAGCCACTAACTGCCCTGAGCCCTCCCCCCATACAGAACAATGCTGTGCTCACTGCTGTTTTGGTCGGTACCCCTAGTCAAGCCCAGGGCTCACCTTGAGGACAGTATGAGCTTCTCCATGCCTTGGTCACCTGACACAGGTCCCAAAGGGGCAGCCCCTCTGGAACTGGGAACTTGAAAGAGCCTGGAGGGTTTATGAGGTACAGTCATCTGAACCCTGTGATTGCCAGGAGACCGCGACCATTTCTCTTCCCCCTTGCCAGAATGCATGAGGTTCCAAATGAACCCCTCTTTCCCATCACACATATATACTGCCCCTTTCACCTTGGCTGAGGAGAGGCATGTGTCTGGGACCAGCCCCACCCTCAGCCCTGCAGGAGACACCACAGACCTAGACCCAGCTCAGCAGATGGTGTTGAAATCTGGGCTGAACTTCAGAAAAAGATCTGGCTGGCACAGGCTGAGCTGCTAGGGAGAGACAGGAACTATGTTCAAGCCCAGGATGGTTCCTGACTGAGAGGTACTGGTTAGACTCAATGGCTAGCCATGAAAGGAAGCTACACCCCACATACCTTTCACTCCTGGGCTCCAGTCTGAGCCCAGGTCTAATTTCTTTCCTTTGGGTCGGAATCTTACTATGTATCCCTGGCTGGTCTGGAACTCTATGTAGAGCAAACTGGCCTCGAACTCACAGATCTCTGCCTGCTTCTGCTTCAAAGAGCTGGGATTAAAGATGTGTACCACCTCCCCAGTTTATTTAAGTGGATGTTTTGCCTGCCTATATGTGTGTGAACCACATACATGCAGTTCCTATAGAGGCCAGAAGGAGGAGTCGAATCACCTGGAGCTGAACTACCATGTGGATGCTGGGAATTGAACCCAGATCCTTCAGGACAGTGTTCTTAAACTCTGAGTAAATTCTCCAGGTCTTTTTTTTTTTTTTTTTCTTTTTCTTTTTTTTAATGTGTGTGTGTGTGTGTGTGTGTGTGTGTGTGTGTGTGTATAGATATGTGCACATGAGAACAGGTGCTGCTTGAGGAGGCCAGAGGCATTTGGATTTCTCTGGAGCTGGCGATACAGGTGGATGTTAACTGCCATTGTGTGTGCTGGGAATTGAACTGGGGTCCTCTGCAAGTGGACACTATATGTTCTTAACTGATGAGCCATCTCTCTAGCCTAGGTCTAGTTTCTTGTATTGGACTAAAGAAGTCAGCTTCCCATAACCTTTGCTCCTGTTGGTCCCTTCAAGTCAAACTCTGTGGCACAAGTAGGGCTTTATTTTCTCTTCCTGCTAATGCAGATATGAGTTTCCCATTGGCACTGAACAGGTTGTACTACATGGCCAGTTACATCGGCATGCATGTATTCTCTTCCAGTTCCAGATGTCCAGGTTTGAATTAATTACGGTGTCCACAGGGTTGTGCTCCTTCTGAGGTTCCGGGGAAGAACCTACTTTCCTGCCTTTCCCAGATTTACTCAAATCCCTATGTGAAGAACAGTCTGCGCTCTGGACTAGCCAGTGTGATACCAGGAACAAGCTGATGGTGCAAGGGGTCTCCTGTCCATTACAGATAGGGGAAACCTGGTAAGGGAGCTTCCCTGAAACACCATCCTGACTCTGAGCTGGACCCAGGATTACACTTTTGAGTGCAATCCACGAGCGATTTTGGATGGTGACTTTATACCAGCCTCCTTTTCCCACCCAGTGCATGGAGTGGGGGATGATGACTTCAAGCAGGGCGTTATCAAGAAGCCTTTTGGGATGGACAGACTTTCCATGGCCCCGGGGTCACCTACAGCAGAGTACAGCAAGCCCTTTGGGAACCTGACACACAGTGCTTGAGAAGGCTCTCACACTCCTTTCCAATCCATGCCCTGGGCCTACATGTACTGTCCAGGCTGTAGTCTGGTGTGATTTCTACCCGTTAAGTGTAGCCTTTGAGAGCCCTAAGAGAAGTAATGGGGACCAGACTGGCCAAGACAGGACGCGGTCGTGGGTAATCTGGGCTGCACCTGAGGGAGATGGGAAGAATGCAGATTCCCAGGGACTGGAGAGGAGCGATGCTGGGAACAGAGTTCTCTAGAGAGCCGTGGAAACCGCCTGTCTGGTTCCGATCATGCAGACGGGCGGAAACAGCACGATAGAGCCTAGTAGAAGTCTCAAGCCCGGTCTTCGGTGAGTGCACTCGCTCAGCTGACTGCCCCGGGGAAGAGGGGGCGCGGGAAACGCCGCTCAGAAGCGAGGGGAGGAGGAGCTTGAGAGTCGACTGGGGCGGAGCCCTGCTTGAGGGCGTGGCTTGAGAGGCTTCGGGGCGGGGCTCTGGGCGGGGCTCAGGGCTGACCCTTGTGTGCCGCCGCGTTCCACCCTTCCGGCCCGGCGTTCCTTCAGCTGCTTGCACCTTCCGCCTAGCGCCGGCTTTCCGCGCTGCGGTCGTCAAGTTCTATTTTCCCGTGGCCTCTGCGGCTCCCGAGCCCGCAATGTCGGGCCCCAACGGGGACTTAGGCATGCCGGTGGATGCGGGCGCGGAAGGCGAAAATGACAGCTTCGGGGAAGCAGGTGACCTGGGCGAGGGGAGGGTACTGCTGGGGCGACCTTTGCTTTGCTAGGGGTGCTGTCCTGGAATGGGGCTTGGACGGAGGGTGTGTGAGGGACTGAAGAGCTGTCCCACCCCCTCACCTGGGTGGTTCTGGAGTTGTCCCCACAGCCACCTCGGAAGCAACGCCGCAATACTGGGGAACTGTCGCTAACCAGCCCTGGTTACATATCGGGAAATTGAGGCAGCTTCAGAGACACTTATAGGTTTGGGGTTATTTCAGCCACTTTCTTAGCTGAAGGGGAGCGGGTCCTGCTTGGCTCTGCAGGTGTTGGCCCGGTGGGTGCTCCACTATGCTGAGTCAGCACCCCAGCCACCTGGCTTTGCTGGTGTGACCCGCTTACCAAGGACTGTGTTGGATGCACAGCACTGTGGAAGGACCCCAGGGGAAGCGTCGGCCCACAGACTTCTTTGCAAGTTTTGGAACCTCAGTTTTCCCATCTACAATACTGGGTACATTGGTATCTACTGTTTCAAGATGTGTCAGGATTAAAGGGAAAATGGAATGGAAAATGTTTAAACACTAAGATTTCAGCGTACAGGTTCCTTCTGAAAGTGGATAGATGGTAACTCATATATATATATATATATATATATATATATATATATATATATAATCCCGTGGTCCTTACCCAGAGGGCAGGACTTGTGCAGTAAGAATGGGGTATGCTTTTGTTCTGTTATAAAAGCTTTATTGAGCTGTAAGTCACACTATAAATTTTACTATTTAAACAGTACAGTTCTGCAGGCTTTCATATATTCACAGCATATCCATTTTCACGACAGTTTTACAATATTTTAGTCACCCAGGTTCTGCTCTTAATAAAGGGTGCCCTCCAACTGGAGGCAGGTGGTGAGTGGGTCGTTAGGCTTACAGTGGGCAGTGTTAGGGAACAGTGATGACAAGTTCAGTGGCTGCTGGCAGCCACAGTGGGAATATCATGAGGGACTTGGTGAGGGGGCAGTATAACACTGAGTAGGCATGGGATGGTGGGGAGGAGGCTATTTGTCCCAGGACAAGAGCAATGGCTAGGAGGTACCGTTGACATAGATGAACCCTAGTCTGGAGACTCCACCTCTCCTCACCCCTCTGCTAGCCTGCCAGACTTGGGAAGGTTGGATCATAACAGCTTTCATTAAGTTCTTGCTGTGGCCAGACCCAACTGAGCTCTTGGTGCACTGGGACCCTCATTGTCCCCTACACCAATAAGGAGTTGCTGGAGTACAGCAGATCTGGGACTCAAACCTAAGGGTCTCTGACCTTCAGGTCTGAGTTTTGGCTCCATTACCAAGCAGGTATGAGAAGCTGTTCTGGTTCCTTCTTTCTTAGGTCTCAGTTTCTCTATCTGTGCCATGAGGGATGGACTTTTAAGATCCAGCAGCCTTTCAAGGCTCTATCCTCTGTAAGGGATGCCTGCTCTGGGAACCATCCCCCAAAGGCAGACACATTTGCACTCATATCCCCAACACCCTCCATGGGCCTTTTTTTTTTTTTTTTTAATCCACCAGCTACTTCCTCTCTGGTTCTAAGCTGGCAGCTGAGTGTTTCTGAGTCATGGGCTGGCTCAGAACTGGGTCCCGCAGTGGGCATAGACCCAGACCTTGGGTCCTAAGGGACATAGCATTGCCAAGAGGCAGATCAGAAGAGGCTGTAGAGGAAGACAGGGAAGACTTCTCAGAGGAGGGAAGACTCCCAGGAGGAGGCATTTTGAGCTGGTCCTTGAAGGGTTGTTGTCGATGAATTCTAGATGGTAGACAGTTGAGCAAAAGCAGGGACTGGAAAGTCAGAGCTTCATTCATTCATCCATTCACTCATTCATTCAGTAAGTACTTATTTGTGTTGTTGAGGGCACTGGGGAGACAGCAGAGAACACAAGACCTGTCACCTCTCCCAGATCTTTAATTGAGTGTGAGGTTGAATACAGACCAGCACCCAGATAGTCACAGTAGTGATTCCTGATGGGAAAGCTGTGGAAGGTGAAAGCTAAAGGATCAGGACAAAGGCCAGTGTGGGACAGCCTTGGTAGTAGCCATACTGACACTTGAAATAAGTAGTACTCATCCCAGAGGAAAAGACAAGAAGGCCACCCAGTGCATTCAAAGGGCCCGAGATAGGCTAAAGAGCCACTTGCCTAGCCTTTGATGGATTAGCTCTGAAACCTGGCTTCTAACTTCTAGGTAGCTATGTAGGGAAATGTAAAGGAAACTTGGTATATGATAGGGCCACCAGCCAGGACATTGGCAGATTGCCCCATGACCACACTAACCCTTCAAAAATGGTTTGTTAAGGATGATTTCTCTGACACTTTGCCTCTTGTGGTATCTACTCATTTCCCACATGGTGACACTGAGAATCAAAAAGATGTGTCCTAAGTCCTCTCAAGGGAGAGCGGGGGACACTGGATGTGTCTATCAGCCCTAAGAAGACACAGGACCTTCCCTCTGTCTTTTCCCTCCTCCCAGAGTATGCTGCCATCAACTCCATGTTGGATCAGATCAACTCTTGTCTGGACCACCTGGAGGAGAAGAATGACCATCTCCATGCCCGCCTCCAGGAGTTGCTGGAGTCCAACCGACAGACACGCCTGGAATTCCAGCAACAGCTTGGGGAGGCCCCCAGTGATGCCAGTCCCTAGGTGCCAGGAGCCCCCAACCAGGCCCTACGCTTGCCTCTTGGCCATGTTCTGGCTTGGGTAGATGCTACCTGGCTTAGATACCATCTCAGGTACTGGCCTTCAGATCCCCCAGTGGGTCTACCAAACTGAATCAGGCCCTACTGCCCATTACCCCTTCTGGAGCCATGTGTGTTCCTACAACTCATTCACTTATCTGCCTGCCCAGTTCTGGTCTCTTTTCCCTTCACCCGGGATTGAGTGTCAATATTAAAGAGGTCTCCCACACCATTGCCTCTCATCTCTTTGTGCCAGGGTAAGGACCCCATTAGCTACAGGAGGCAAAATGGAGCAGACTGTGGCTTGTGGACCATGTGGCAGGGTTGGGGTTCTTAGCCACCTGTCATTTTTGATCCAGAGGATACAGGCAAGGCCAGGGCTTCCTCCCTACCTGGTGTGTAGCAGCTGCTTCCCCGCCTGGCTGAGACAGACATGCTGTGTGACTATGAGATACATTCAGTCTCTTTGGGCACTAGGGCCTTTCCCCAGGATAACCACTCCTAGGATCTGATGGTAAACCCTGGCACCTTCCACTCTAGTCTTCCCAGCTGGCACTAAAAGCCAGGCTGTCATTTCTCTAATGAGAAAGCAACAGAGCTAAGGCTGGGCCCCTTCACTACTTATCTCACTCCAGATTAGGAGGGCAAACCAAGAGCTGAACCTCAGCAGTAAGGACCACTCCCCCAGTCCTAACTCCAGTACAGCTGGATAGAGGCCAACACACGGGCCAAGAATTTAACACCTGGGGTTAAGTCCTGGTTGTTTGCCAAACTAACTTTTGGCAAGTCACATGACATTGCTAAGGCCTCAGTTTGTTTATCTGCAACTTGGAAGTAGGAGGAAGACCATCTGCTAGGTCCCTAGCCATAAGGGTTTGCTCTCGAGTTGCCTTCCTAGGTCTGATACACTAAGAGGTAAACTGAGGCTCAGAGAAGATCAGTGCCTTGTAGTCCTATCCCAGAGACCCTGCATCTCAGGGAGCCTGATTTTGGCTTCCCTGGTCGTCCACCACACTGCCCAGGGAGACTAGGTGCCCCTCCCTATACCCACTCCGACACAGTGCTGGTGGGGACCCCAAAGCCAGACAACACTTTATTGGATTTGAGTAAAAACACCAACCATATGAACATCTCCACAGAGACACCTAGAAAGCATTAGTGAATCGGGCCCTAGTCAGGTTGGGTGGCCAGAGCTCCCACTATCAGGTTTTGAGGCGAGTTGAGCGCCGAAGGGGAGGAGAGGGGATGGGGGGTCCAGGCTTCACCTTGCTTGGTATTTTCGCTGTGTCCTGGGGCCTGGGCTGGTTGAGTGGGCGGCCTCTGCTATTGCTAGAGGTGAACAGCGCAGTCAAAGCATTTCGGGCGTTGATCGCACACCTGCGGCTCACGGGCCGGGTGACAGGGCTAGGGTTCTTGGCTGCTTTGTATTTCTGGATACAAAAGTTTTCAAGTTAGGTGCAGCCTACAAGCACTCCTGGCTGGCAACTGCTTCCCTACTTGGGTCAAAACAGTAATTGTCTGTTGTGTGACCCTATGTGAAGCTCTTAGCCTCTCTAGGCTCTGGAGTCACTCCCACCCGGACCCCCAACACACACACACACACACACACACACACACACACACACACAGGCATGCACACACGCACGCACACAAGGACATAACACATAGTCAAGCCTGAGTCTCTCCCTGCTGTGGGAGTATGCCAGCTGGAACAGAGGTTGAATCCCTGGGCAGGACAGTCAGATGGACACTCACCTGCAGGTTCTCAAAGTGGGCCAGGGACTTGCAGTGGGAGAGCCGTAATCCTGAGTTACTGTCGTAGAACTTGTGACAGACGCAGCAGACATAGCCCATCACGGGCACCAGGAAGTCCACACCTGAGGGACAGACAGCAGGGGCTGCATACTCAGGTCCCACTGCTCTAGGTGGGAGAAGAGAAAAGCACCGGGGGTGGGCTGCCTGGCTGGAGAGCTGTGGCTGAGATTGCAGGGCTTAGCTTGGGGTCTTACCATATGCCGTGTTGGGGCTGTAGGTCTCTGAGCCCTTGCATTCCTCTAAAGATGTATCTCTTGACCTCACCTGGAGAGGGAGCGAGGGCTCAGATGTGGTGCTCAGGTCCCACCCAGACACAGGTCAGGGGCCTGCAGTGCACCACCCATCCCCTTGGCTTACAGCTCCTTGGGGGTGGCCTTCTCTGAGCTGTGGCACATGCTGGTCCTGCCTGTGGCTACGTTGTGGGTTTCAGTTAGCTCCTTTCTCCAAGCCAAAATACCCCTTCCTTTCTCAGGCTGCTTTTTTCTTTTTTCTTTTTTTAATGCATTTGAGTGTGTGGGGGTGTGGGTACCTGAGGCTAGTGCTTGTCAAATCTCCAGGAACTGGAGGCAAAGGCATTTATGAGCGACCTGACATGGGTGTGGGGAATTAAGCCCAGGTCCCCGGTGAGAGCAGCACAGCTTTTCACTACCTAGTCATTTTTCCATCCCCCCCCCCCCACCTCCAGAGACAGGGTCTTGGTATGTAGCCCATGATGGAGCTCTCAATTTTCCTGCTTCAGCTTCTTTCATGCTGGAGACTCTATGGCCCCTCCCCCTGCTACTGGAGAGTGAATCTAGGGCTTTGCTTGTGCTAGGCAAGCACTCTACCACTGGGCTACAGTTCCTAGTCCTTTGCCTTCCCTCCCTACCCCCAATCCACATGCATTTCTTTTACTTTGTCCAGACATAGCATGAAAATCTTAAAGCCTCACAGGACTTAAGACAGTCTGCTGTAGTGTGCCTTCTGTGACTGGCTGAACACGTTCCCTCTGCCCTCCCTTCCCCAACACACTCAGTATCTCAGCCAGCTTTTAAGCCCTTGCATATTTCACCTGTCACTTAGTAGTCATCCCTGTGCCTATTTCCATGGCCATGTGACATAGCCCATAGTTGTGTCATGCATTTACTGCCTATAAATGCCAGCAGTGTCTGTGTCCCTCAGGGAGCAGGACAGCCTCTCTGGCTCCAGCAGCCTCTAACGGCCCACTCCACATACCTGCTTGCAGAATTCCTCCTCAGCTTCAATCTCTTCCTCTTCCTTGTCATCCTCATCATCTTCTTGATCACTCTCAAAGCAACCAACAGCATCCACTGTGATGAAGTGGTCCTCCTCTGGGCTGGCTGTCTCCTTTTCAAGTGTCTTCAGCTGCCCAAGGCATGGGCGAGAGGCTTAGGTCAGCTATGGGCAGCTGAGGTCCCACACACCCCTGAGGGTTCTAGGCCCTCCACCTGCTCTATGAGCCGGAGGACTGGGGTGGGGGAAGGCTTCATGCTGTACTCAGGCAGGGCAGGGAGTTACCTCCTTGGCCTTGTCTTTGTGGCCCTGGGACTTCACGTGCTCCACAAACTTTCGAGGGGTCTTGAAGTAACGGTTGCATATGGTGCAGAAGGGCCTCAGGGATTGCTTGGCAATCTGGGGGAAGGAAGGCAGGCCATGAGACGCATTGTAGCGCCCCCCAGGTACAAGCTACCCTATCAGTGACCCAGTGAGGCCTCACCTGCCACACCTGCCAGCCCACTCAGCTCCACCCCTGCAATGGGCATGCAAAACCACTTCTCTTCAGTACGTGGGATAGCAGGTGGCAACAGAGACAGGACAGGAAGGAGGACAGCCACCAAAGACACCCCAGTAGGCTAGTGGCTGGGCAGCAGGATGAGCTGGTACTTACACTGAACAGATGGGCAAAGTAAAGCCCAAAGAGGAACAAGACCGACTCACCAGAAGCCGAATGAATGACAGTCACATGGAGACAAAGAGACTTTACCTCCTACTCCCAGCCTGGACCACCTCCCCCACCTGGCTTGGCTGTGGCACACACAGGTGTCTTTGCAGCATGTGAGTGGCTCTGGCACCTTATGTTCCTGCGTCCTGCGGTGTTGGATCAGGTCTCCCATGTAGTACACCTGGCAGGTGTTACACCAGCGTTTTGGAGGAGGATCTCTGAATGACGACAATAAAAACAAGCAGGGAATGACGCTATATTCTACAGTGCTCCTGAGATGTAATGTGGTTTGGAAGCCAGGGTGTGGGCCAGCCTACGATGCCTCCTTGAGGGGCCAGGGCTCTAGTTGCAGCATCGAAAAGACAAAGGAAAGACCAGCAATTCCTGACTCCTCTGAATGAGAGTTAAGAGATATGTGCTCTCTGTCCAACAGGCAAAAGCTGAGCAGCCGTGAGTCCCTGCTGTCTCCTCATCCTCAGTAGAACCCGCAACCATGGATTCAGACAACTGTCCAGCCTGTCTTCAACAGCATTTACTGTAATTCTAAATAAGTCAACTCTGAGATCTCACTACACAGCTGGCTTTAAACTCTTGATCGTAGCTGGGCATTGGTGGTGCACACCTTTAATCCTAGCACTTGGGAGGCAGAGGCAGGCAGATCTCTGTGAGTTCCAGGACAGCCTGGTCTACACAGAGAAACCTTATCTTGAAAAACCACCACTACCACCAAAAACCTCTTGATCCTTCTGCCTCGGCCTCCCAAGTGCTGGTCCCACAGCTATCTTTGTTGTTGACACTCCTAAGTTATCCAGGTTCCTGGATTCTCCTGAAAAGCTGGGCACTCGCAACCACGGGGCAGCTGTCCTAGGAGATACAGCCCTTATCTTCCGGTTCCCTTTCTCCAATACCTCCCAGCGCCCCTGGGCCAGGTAGCTCCTACAGCTTTCCATGCAGCCTTGTCACTCTAAGCGCTAGTTCCAGACTCCAGGGAGGCACTTCAGACCAATCCCATCCCCTGTGACAATGGAAGGAGGACTCAAGGGAGGTTTAACCCCAGGGCACAAGATGACCTGACCTTTACCATTGTGCTTCTGTGGTTGGGGCCAGCACTCAGGCCAGAGGAGCAGGGCTCTGTACCACAGGAGTGTCACACCATTCTTATCTGGAAGGGCCCTCAGGACGCTGTCACTACACCCCTCATCAGGCCACTTTATGGATAGGGGAAACTGAGGCCCAAGCTTGCAGAATTAATGGCATACAGAGCAATGCTTAATCCCCAGGCAGACCTCACAGAGAGTGTATTGAGGGCCTGACCTGTGAGGCTCTGGCCTCTGCCAGCCTTTACTTACTCTGCCTCTCTCTCCAGGATGTCCCGAGGCACGGGCAGCAGGGACAGCAGGCAGGTCTGACTCGAGTGCTGCACTTCCCCAAGCCGCTGTTGGTGCTGAGCTTCTGACAAGTGGTCCTGGAAC